GCCACTTAATTCGAACTAGTGGGAGGCTAGCCCTCCCCAGCTATCCCTGGTGGCCACTCTGGGCACCACCAGGGAACCTCGTCTGCCCCCCTCCCGGCCCCGGAGCTTAGTTCGAATTAACTAATTCGAACTAAGTTAGTTCGAATTAGTGCTGTAGTGTAGTCATACCCTTTGAGTGTAGGAGTTGTGTGCTCCCTGTGCTTCCAATCTGGTGTTCCTATGACAGTGATGTGCAATCTGCAGACTGCAGGCTGCATGAAGCCTATTGGGGTTCTAGTGTGGCCCACAAGATGTTTTGTTTACCATTGTCCACATGCAGGGTTGCCAGATTCCGCTAGTTTCCATCCATGTAATTGTTTTTTCCTACCAGTATTACTAAAATGACATGCAGGTAAAGCAAGGGCACATGAAATTAGGTGCATGTTTATTGCTCACTTTGGGTATGTCTACGCTACAAAGTTAATTCAAACTAACAGACGTTAGGTCGAATTAACTTTGATAGGCGCTACACTAGCGCTCCGCTAGTTCGAACTTAATTCGAACTAGCGGAGTGCTTAATTCAAACTAGGTGAACCTCATTTTACGAGGACTAAAGCCTAGTTCGAATTAGCTAGTTCGAATTAAGGGCTGTGTAGCCACTTAATTCGAACTAGTGGGAGGCTAGCCCTCCCCAGCTATCCCTGGTGGCCACTCTGGGCACCACCAGGGAACCTCGTCTGCCCCCCTCCCGGCCCCGGAGCTTAGTTCGAATTAACTAATTCGAACTAAGTTAGTTCGAATTAGTGCTGTAGTGTAGTCATACCCTTTGAGTGTAGGAGTTGTGTGCTCCCTGTGCTTCCAATCTGGTGTTCCTATGACAGTGATGTGCAATCTGCAGACTGCAGGCTGCATGAAGCCTATTGGGGTTCTAGTGTGGCCCACAAGATGTTTTGTTTACCATTGTCCACATGCAGGGTTGCCAGATTCCGCTAGTTTCCATCCATGTAATTGTTTTTTCCTACCAGTATTACTAAAATGACATGCAGGTAAAGCAAGGGCACATGAAATTAGGTGCATGTTTATTGCTCACTTTGGGTATGTCTACGCTACAAAGTTAATTCAAACTAACAGACGTTAGGTCGAATTAACTTTGATAGGCGCTACACTAGCGCTCCGCTAGTTCGAACTTAATTCGAACTAGCGGAGTGCTTAATTCAAACTAGGTGAACCTCATTTTACGAGGACTAAAGCCTAGTTCGAATTAGCTAGTTCGAATTAAGGGCTGTGTAGCCACTTAATTCGAACTAGTGGGAGGCTAGCCCTCCCCAGCTATCCCTGGTGGCCACTCTGGGCACCACCAGGGAACCTCGTCTGCCCCCCTCCCGGCCCCGGAGCTTAGTTCGAATTAACTAATTCGAACTAAGTTAGTTCGAATTAGTGCTGTAGTGTAGTCATACCCTTTGAGTGTAGGAGTTGTGTGCTCCCTGTGCTTCCAATCAAAGTGCTGCTTCAGTTCAGTTGCACAACCACAAGTCTAGGTACACAAAAACAGTTAATAAAACCACCCTATCGTAGGAGACCTTCTTGGTTACAACAATCTTGCAGCCCACTGAGATGGAGGGTCCACTCATGTGGCCCACTCATTAACCTAGATTGCTCGTTGCTGGCTTAGGGTGACCATATTTCCCAAAAGGAAAATAGGACGTGTGGGACTGGCCTGAATCCCCCCATGCAGGAATGGCCCAAGCCACTTGTCCAAGCCCTCCTTCCTGAGGGGGGCAAAGGAAGAGGGAGGAAGGAGAGGCAGGGCTTGGGCAAGCAACGATGCACTTACTACATAAGGTGATCATATTTCCCAAAAGTTGGGACTAACATCACTGCTTGCCCAAGCCCTGCTTGCTCCCTGCGAGAACCCTGTCTCTTCCACCCCTCGTAGGATGGAGTAGGGATGTGAACGACTAGTCGACTATCCGATAAGCATACTAGTTGACTAGCCGCTCCCCCCCTTGCTGCCCCTATCAGAAAGAGGCAGCAAGGGGTGGGGGAGAGAAAAAGGGTGCTTCAAAGCAGCAGCACTGCCTGGAGCCCAGAACCAGACCCCGGGCTCCACATGGCACTGCCACTTTGAAACGCTGCAGGGATCACAGAGCCAGCAGGGGACTGCTTGAGTTTCCTGTTGGCCCCATGCTGTTGCTACACTTTAAAGGCACAGGTGCCCTTCTCGACTAATCCAATAGTCAATGCAAATTGCATCAACTATTCAATAAGTCAATTAATCTACATACTATATTCCCTAGCATGCAGCTGGCATCACCGCTCCACCCACTTGTTCCTCTGCTCCCCACTATTTTTACAAAAGTGGGCATTTGTCCCCTTTGCGCTTTGCAGCTGATCAAGTTGACTAGAGCAAATGGGACAAATTCCCATTTTTGCCCCACAGGCTGGGACAGCTGAGAGAAGCTTACAGGGGACAGCCCCAACCAGCACAAGATATGATCATGCAGCTGGCATCACCGCTCCACCCACTTGTTCCTCTGCTCCCCACTATTTTTACAAAAGTGGGCATTTGTCCCCTTTGCGCTTTGCAGCTGATCAAGTTGACTAGAGCAAATGGGACAAATTCCCATTTTTGCCCCACAGGCTGGGACAGCTGAGAGAAGCTTACAGGGGACAGCCCCAACCAGCACAAGATATGATCGGGCCATTCCCCGCCCCTCAGCTCGTGTCACCCTCTGCCCCGCCCCCGCCCACCCGTCCTCTGCATTCTGAGGGCAAAGAGAAGGGCAAAGGCAGAGCCGGGCCTTCAGCCGGCTTCACTGAGCATGCGCACGGTGGCCCGCACATGCTCAGTGACAGCCGCGCCGCCAGTGCGGAGGGAGCAGAGGA